CCGCGCTCGTCGACTCATTTAAACGCGTGAGTTGCGCTTTGTCCGGTAGATCGTAAAGTTTTCCGCTCGAATTTAGCTTCGATTCTCTTCGTTGACTCGGCTTGCGACGCAAGACACCTACGTTCGCAGGCTCGAGGGTGGCGATATACCGCGAAACGTTCCGTTTTATGCCGAAAAGGTGGGTGAAGTCGGCCTCTCCAAGCAGGAAGTGGGTGGTTCGACCGAGAAAATTGATCTCCTTCGATCGGTCGACGTTACTGGGAAATTTAGCGCACCGTTTACGCGTAACTTTAGTTTCGTCCGACACAATGGACTATGCCAGACATTTTATTGCGCAATTCGATGAAATGTGCTTCCCGTCCTGTTTGGTATTCGCTGTCCGAAGAACGACTCGCGTACGGCCTATGTTGACTTCGATTTACGTCCGTATTCGTCAAGTTAATCCTGTTTTAGCACGGAAACAGAAGGAAATGCAGAAAAATACTTGTTTCACCGCATCGAGAAACAGTAAATCGCGAATACATGTTTACCTTAGTTGCGCAAGGACAGAGCGGTTTTCTAATTTGTATGGGTATAAATGAAACGTAATTTACTCTTAATGCGAATGCAACGCATCTCGATAAATTGATCAACTGGATGACGAAGAGATATAGAGTAGCAAAGGCACTTGTGATTGTACAGATGTTCTCGCAGATACATTCGAATGCTCGATTTGTAATTTTCAATTTTTAATTTGCTTTATTGAGTAGGCGAATGAAAAATGATCGTTCGATGCGTTATCGGTGTATAGATTGGATGCGAGATTCTTTTGATCTTATAAATCACTGGAACATCGTTACGTTACGACATAAAGAAACGATATCTCGAATGAACCGTTTGTTATTAGCGTCGATGGATTGAATAACGGTGCAAAATAATTAAACTCCAATCGTAAATCTCTTGCAGTGATATTTGCGTTCGCTGTTTTAATCGTGTATCAATGTATAAAAAAAACTCCTCCAGCTGGTTTGCATGAAAAATATATTTATACTTTAGATATGACTCGAAGAAGTGACTCTTTATGTTTGTACCTATGATACGATAATAAAGCAGATTTAAGATTGATAGTAAATAAAAAAACAATTTATTCGAACGATGTATCCTTTAAAAAGAATTTGGATTTGGATATACAGAATCGCAAGTAACATCGTCTCTTCGCATCTTATCGTACTTCTAACTTTTAACTGGAATTCAGATTTCAAGAATTTAGGCTTGTACTCGTCTTTATTTAACAAACCTGCGATCTTCCTCAAACCCGCGCGTTGAAACGATACGAAGTAACGTAGGATACAACGCAATTATCAACCGACAGTGACAAGTATGAGACAAATGAATCCATTTTTGTAAATCTACGAAGCTACCGAGACCACTCGTAAAAGCCTAAAAGCAAAGTTTCAAAGACCTCACTTACCCAGGATGATGCCTGGTATAAGTAGCCGGAGTGGTCGTGTGATGCTGGTAGCCCTGTGTGACCACTTCCCTCGGCTGGTGACGATGATTGTTGTGATAACCGGCGTAAGCGATGGCTCTGGTGCCGGTGTAGTCGGCAACCGCGACCGCGCTGAATTTCTCCGGTTTCGAGGTTCGTTGCTCGTAAACGTGTTGCTCCACGCGATGTCTGACCCCACTCGCAGTTGTTTGCAGTGGTGCGATTGTCGAACTGCTTCTTTCGAACAGATCGTTGCGAATCCAATTGTTGACGGTACCCTGTTGTTGGAAAGTCCTATCGTCGTGTTCGTGTCGAGATCGTGTGAATTTCTCGTGGTACGGCCAGACCGGCCAGGTGAGTCTGTGATTGGTAAAGTCGCGATGATCGTTGGCCGTGTGTTCGATGGAGGCGATGGCGGTCGGTAAAATAAAGAAAGCACACGTGAGAAGAATTTTCGGTACGGAAGCCATCGCTAAACCAGCCTTCGATCTTCGATTACGTTGACGATGTCTGGTGTAAGTAACAGTCACGACGAACGGATCACATTCTCGATGATTTTGATCGATTTTTTTACGTTTGACCGAAGGTGCTGCGCTGGATACGTCGAACAAGCTCGATGGACATCCGGTGCGAAATCGTTCGAAGGCAACCGAGAGCACTACTGAACGAGACACACGGAGTAGGCTCCACGTGCTTGAGTCGCTCGTACCAACCCCACCATCCTTCTTTCTTTCTCTCTTTCTCTTCGTTTCCACGTTCCGCCCCTCGTCCTCTCTCGCACCCATCTCTCCTTCCTCTCTTGTTTGTTCGCTTAGACCTCTTTCTTCGTTCCGCTTTGTTCCGCTCCCTTTCTACCTGTCTGCTCTCCTGATACACCGCCAACCGCTCAGTTAACCACCTACATATCCTTGCACGCGTTCGACAAGAACGCTCAGTAGGATAGAGACACAATGGTGCGCGTTGTTTGTTCCTTGGGATAGATGGGACGACCGGCTGAACCGATTGCGAAACTCGAAGGGTACGCTTGTCGCGATGGAATATTTTCCTCGTTCCTCTTTGTTGATTCATGCTTCGGATTTTTTACGTTGCCACGATCATTGTAATATACATATTACATACAGGGTGTAGCGAATGTAGAATGGTAGGAATTTGCTAATGGTGAGAAAGCGCTACGAAGATATTTCCGTGGATGTGGTTAGAATTCACTGTTGCTTTCGGGTTGCTGAAGATTGCACGACTCGCTTGGAACGTCTACTTCGTGCTTTGTTGCATAGTACGACGGGTCTTGGTAATTTACAAAATATCAGAAATTGTTGGCGTGACTATGAAAGTTGAAGTATGTATGCCGCGTTTAAGAAATTTTAAATATAGAATTGTCGGAATTAAAAAAAGGAATTTGTAATACTTGTATCTTTAATACGTTTCTTATTTTCCGATCTATACATTTATGATAAATTTGTGATAAATTTATAAGGAACGTATAAGCGTTGAAATACTTTTAAACGCTAGTGTACCTTTCTTATTCCCGTGTAGAAATCCTACATCGCGTGCAATCGACGCCGCATCGAGGCTATCGTGTATAAACCTTTGTCGGCTCGAAACTCATCTACGCAATCTTGTTATTTCAACCGTCCAATAAATCAACAATTTCCTCCAACTCCAATTTCCTCGAAAAGCAAAAATCGAAGCAGAGGGAAAGAGAATCGAACGATCGGGTTTCGCGAGCGTTTATTGCATCGTTGCCGAGTCGCGAATCGATTTCGAGATCCGCAGAACGCGGAGACCAGGAGTTTCTCTATTTACAAGCAATAAATGTTAAAGGCGTGCGTGCAAAAGGTGTCACGCGGGACGAATGTAGGTCGTGAGTCACGCGTTCCTGTGGAACCATGGCAGCGCGACCGAACTCGTGTACGCTAGAAAATTACGGGTGCGAGGAAAAGCGAGCGATCCGGCCGCGACATCGTGCAACCGACGTGTGTCATCCCGATCGATTTTTGTATCTGGATAATAAAGGAACTGAAAGTAATAAGATGGACGCGTGTGTTGGCGGCGTCGCGTTTACACGCGCAATTACGC